ATAGCACCCACATCAGGCTGTTCAACCACCCATAAGTCCAGCTTCAGGGATCCAACGCCCTCTCTGGCCTCTGAGGACCCCCTGAACACATACGGTACACATAGTTAGACTCAGTCATTACACACACATAAAATAAATAAGTAAATCTTTAAAAAGAAAAAAAGAAAGAATCTAGCACAGTGAGTTCTCTTAATCTTCATTTCAAAATTGTTTTCGTAGGGCTGGAGAGATGGCTCAGCAGTTAAGAGCACTGATTGCTCTTACAGAAGTCCCGGGTGGATTCCCAGCACCCATATGCTGAGTAACAACTGTCTATAACTTCAGATCCAGGGGATCTAACACCTCCTTCTGACCTCCTCAGGCATTGCACAACATAGGTGCACTTACACACATATAGGCAATACACTCATACACATAAATAAAAATAATAATATATAGTTGGGGATTTAGCTCAGTGGTAGAGCGCTTGCCCAGCAAGCACAAGGCCCTGGGTTCGGTCCTCAGCTCAAAAAAAAAAAGAATAATAAATAAAATGGTCTTTAAATCCAGGCATGGTGGTGCATGCCTTTAATCCTAGCAAATTTTAAAAATACTAAAAAAATGTTTTCACTATTTTAGTTTTCATATAAAGTTTAAAATAGGCTTGTCCACTTCTTCAAAAACAAAATTGATAAAATTTCAGTAAGAACTGTGTTAAATCTATAGATTAATGTGACATAACTTCATACGTTGAGTTTGATTTTTGTGGTTTTTAGACAGGGTCTCCCTATAACTCTGGCTGGTCTTGAACTGACAGAGAGCCACCTGCCTCTGCTTCCTGAGTGCCAGGATCAAAGGTGTGCACCACCACACCCAGCCCCATGTGGAGCTTTCTGCTCCCCAGCACAGTGTGTCTCTATCAGGTCTTCCCTTTCTTTCATCAGCATTTTATACTCTCTTGGCCTTTACAAAGTTCATAATCATCTTTCCATCCATCCTTTGATTTCCAACTTTCCCACCAACTGTGTACAAAGCACATTTTATGAACAGGATGTAACTGAGTCACCCTTCTTCCCTCCCTCTTCTCTCTCTCTCTCTCAGTTCATTCTCTTCCTCCCTCCCTTATTCTTTTCTCTCTCTCTTTCCTTACTGATCTTGCCCTGATATTTTCCCTTACCTCCCTCCTTATTATTATTTTTTATTTCCTGGTCTCACTGTTATTTGCTTTTAATTTTTTTGCCTAATTGATCAAATTAGTTTCTATTCTCTATACTTTTCTATTTTGTGTTGCTATTCCTTATCAACATCCTTGATTCACCAAGGACTCATAGCTGAGTCATCTCTTTTCTGCACAAGAAGGAAGGGGGTATAGCCAAGCGGCAGAGCATTGGCCTATTTACTTCCATTTATTCTTTTTTTTTGTTTCCATCCTTTACTAAATAATTTCTCCTCCTCCTGCTCCTTCTCTTCCCCTTCTCTCCTCCCCTCCTCCCCTTCCTCCTCCTTCTCCTCCTCTTCCTCCTTCTCTTCCTCAAAAC